TAAAAAATAGAAAAAATCTATTTATTGAGTTTGTTAATGTTTTATTGTTTCTTATTTATATTTAAAATATTTATGTAATCATTTTGCACATTGAAGGAAAGCATAATAAAGAGTATAGTTCTTTTCCACCATAAAATTAATAACATCCATTTATTAGCTAGAAAACTAGCTTGAGAGGTACAGGTATATTCCAGTTTTAATGATTCCTCAGATACAAACAATTGTCTTATATTTGGAGTATTTTGAAGAAAATATTGTCTCTTAAGTCTGTTCTGTTTTTTTGAGTCTCAGTCACTAAGAATTCAAAGTACATTAGGAGAATCCTGATGTCCTGGATGGCTTGATGACTGCATTAAAGTCAAGTTGTATGTTTGTATTCTAAAAATACTCTAAAATCCATACAAATGTTGCTTGATTTGTGGAGATCAGCTCTCTCTTCCTGGCACTATGACACTTGAAGAACATTTGTTATGAAAGTTTCACACTATTTTTATTTTGTTCTTTCTTCATTAGTCATTGTGCTTCCTTCTCCATTTTCTTTTTTGTTCTGCTTCTCTTTTCTCTGTCTGATTTTACACCGCCTCAGTGCTTCTTCTGCCTGTGAGGCAGCATCTTCTTCTTGACACACATTGGTATTTTCTTGCCAGGTATCTATTGTAACCTAATTCACAAGATTGATTAATAAAAGAGGAATAATGATAGTTCCATTATTTTGTGTAGCTGCTAATCTACTAGAGAAACCCGTGATACCAACTGGGATGCCAAAATTTAATAGTTCTTTCTTCTTAATAACAGTTTTCTGAGTTTTCCTTGTGGTTGGTGCCATATCCTTAAAATAGGTTCCAGTTTTTCCAAACTATCTTGTTGTGTTACCATATTTCCATGCCCTCCTTAAATCTTTACATTTGTGGGTAATCTTCACTCCATGAAGTCCACTCTTCAACATCTGTATGCTTCAAAACTGATGAATAATCAACTGTAGTTGGCAAAGTTATTTGGTCTCCACTTCATTTCTGTACTCTGTCAGATCTGTCCCTCCCCCTCCCTGCCTGCCTGGCAGAGGCCCCAAGCGGGCATGGCCCTGTACACACACAAGGCTCACACCTGCACTACCTGTCACTTTCTCAAGCTCACACTCATCTCATTCACTCCCAATTCCACATACTCTGTCACAGCCACAGTTGCAGCCATGCAGCTGCCATGACCTCATGATTTTATTGTTTATTTTCAATTTATGTGAATAACACTCTTATTCTTTAAACTTTTTTTTCTACTACTTTTAGCTGATTTGTGCTTTTCTAGATAATGTTGGACGATCACTGATTTTAAATATTTCTCCTTTTCTAATATACTCTTTTCTATTCTTTTTTTTTTTTTTAGAGGTCTTTGCTATAGGGTGTGTGCGCTCTCCAGACAGACAGAAAGAGGCAGAGACAGAAAGCAAGAAATCACCCCCCAGGGGGGAGGGCCATGCTGCAATCCCTTCTCCTCCATTCTCCTCTCAGATCTTGGGCACACATGCACACATGCCCGGCGTGAGTTATAGCAACAATGTCCGGGACTCAAACCGTGGTGGACTACATGAGAGTCCAGCGACATAGCCATTACGCTAATTGCTGGTCCCCTTTTCTAATATACTCTTTAAAACTATAAATTTCCTCCTAAGATCCCTTACAGCATGCAAAATTTTGAGGGCTGGTCTCAAAGCCAAAAGGTTAAGGGAGCCAGAACACACATGATTGCCTGCAGTTTAAATCCCATCCCTGGCAACTTAAAAAACAAAGCAGGTCCATATGCATGGATGCCCAGGATCCCAACAGGAAGAAGAAATGGAGGGAAGGAATTGTAGTGTGACAATATCTCATTGGGAGGAGTGCTTTCTCTTTCATTCTCCCTTTCTTTTGCTCTCACTCTCTCTCTAGTAAGTGCACACATCCTCTACAATAAAAATGTTTTGATGTGTTGTGTGTTTATTATACTTCTACTGTATGAAAGACACTGTTAAAAGAATGAAAAGACAAGCCACATATAGGTAGTAAATCTTTTCAAAACACTTCTATGATAAAGAGCTAATATTCAAAATATACACAAAATTCTCTAAACTTAAACATAACTAAACAACCCAATTTTAAAATAGGGTAAAGATAAAAACAGACATCTTGCAAAATAAGATATCCAGATGGCAAATAAGCAAATGAAAGGACATTCAACATCATATGTCATTACAGAATTTCAAATAAAATGATGAGATGCCCCTCACACCTATTATTTAGAATGGCTAAAATCCAGAACTCTAAAACCCCAAATGATAGCTAGGAAGTGGAAGCCTGGGAGCCTCATTAATAGCTGGTGGGAATGCAAAATGGTACAGCCACTGTGGAAGACATTTTGGCAGTTTCTTACAAAACTTGATATATGCTTAACATATTATTCAGGAATAACACCATAGTAACCCACAAAAACCTGTACATGAATGTTTCTGACAGTTTTGTTCAAAATTGCTCAAACCTGGAATCAACCAAGATGTCCTTTAGTAGATGAATGGATAAACTGTACTATATACATAAAATGAAATATTAACCAGTTATTAAAAGTGGCCATGAAACCAGCAGTTAGCGTAATGGCTATTTCGCTGAACTCCCATGTAGCTGACTCTGGTTCGAGTCTCGGACCTGGTGGCTTAAACTCACACCGAGCGCATGTGCATGCATGCCGAAGATCCTGAGAGGAGAATGGAAGAGAAGGGATTACGGCGTGGCCATCGCCCCTGGGGGGGTGATTTCTTGCTTTCTATCTCTCTGTCTCTCTCTGTCTTTCTGGTGAGCCCACGTGCCTATCCCCCTGCTCTGTCTTTCTTGTGAGCCCACGTGCCCTATAGCAAAAACCTCTCCAAAAAAAAGTGGCCATCAAGTAACAAAATCACATGAAAGCACCTTAAATGAATATTGATGAGTGAAAGAAGCCAGGCTACAAATGCTACATACTGTATGATTCTAATAATATGTATTCTGCCAAAGATAAAAGTACACACAATAAAAAGATCAGTGGTTTCTAGGAGTTCCAAGGGAAAAAGGAGACATTTTATGTCAGTGAAAGTATTCTGTGTGATACTATAGCGGTAGGTACCTATCATTATATATTTGTGAAAGCCCAAGGGACATACAATGCAGAGATTGAGGCCTAAAGTAAACTAGGTACCTTAGTTAATAATAATGTATCAATATTGGCTCACCAATTGTAAGAAATGTACTACACTTGAGACCAGCAGATAGAATGGTGGCTGAGGTGCTGGACTCCCATATGGCCAACAACACAGTTCAAGTCTCAGAACTGCTGGGTTGAAAATCACACTGGACCTATGTGTGTGTGTGCATGCCCAAAATCCCAGAATTAAAATGTAGGAGAAAGGATTGTGGCATGGCCAATTCCCTGGGAGGAGGGGGTGATTTCCCATTTTTCCTCTCTGTCTTTCTCTGTTGAATGCACACACCCTATGGAAAAAAAACTAAAGCAAAACAAAACAACAAGAAAAATAAATGTACCACAGTTTATGCAAAATACTAATAACAGAAGAATCCATGACTAACATTATATTCAATGGTAAAGACTATATGTGCTTCAGCAGCACATGTACTAAAATTGGAATGATCCTAGGAAGATTAGCATGGCCCCTGCACCAGGATGACAAGCAAATGTCATGAAGTGTCCCATATTTTTTTAGGACTTTATTATTAATGGCATTATTACTGTGTTATAATTGTTAACAAATTTCATGTAAGGTACACACTACATTCTAAGGTCAGCCATCCTTCTTATTAAGTTTTTTACCAAGCTTAAAATGAAGCTTTGGGTTTGCAAATTATAATAAACTCAGATGAAGATAATGGTTGTACATTATTTCACTAGAAAATATAAAATTGCATTTTGTTTTGAAGGTAGGTATTAAGCTGGAATAGCTATTACACCCCTAGAATATTGCAGTTGGACCCTTCCCTTGACATTCCTTTGTTGTTTAATTCTTTAGAATCTTTGCTTTTTTTTTTTTTTTTTTTTCTTGGGGTTTAAAAAGGAAACTTTGTGAGAAAAAAAAACAACAAAGAAACAGTAACCAAAACTTTAAAATAGTGGTTTACCCATACACACCATAAAAAAGAATCAAATGGACCTGTTACAGATGAAGGCTATAATACAGGATGTCAAAACTTCACTTGAAAGTATTAAAAGCAGACTAGATCATGCAGAAAATTGAATCTCAGATGTAGAACATAGAATCTCTGGCATAGAAAAAGCCACCACGAAGACTGAGAGAACTGCCTTTCAAAAATGAGAATAATATACAAGAAATACTAGATACCATCAAACCTCCAAACATCCAGATAATTGGTATCAAAGAAGGTGAAGAGACTCATAAGGACATTGATAATATATTCCATGAAATGCTGCAAGAAAACTTTCCGAACCTAGAGAGTCATTCAAAGATCCACTCCCAAGAAATACAAAGAACCCCAAATAGAATCAACCCAAGAAAATCTTATCCAAGACACATTATAGCCAGATAGACCAAAACCATGGATGAAGACATGATACTAAGATTGGCAAGAAAGAAACATCAAGTTACCTACAAAGGATATTCCATCAGGCTAACAGTGGACCTCTCAATGGAAACAATGTGAGCAAGGAAATAATGGAAAAATAAATTCAAAGTGTTAAGGGAAAAGCAATTTTAGCTAAGAATACTGTGCCCAGCAAGATTATCCTTCATATGGGAAGGGAAGACAAGAACATTCACAGATAAAAAAAACCTGAAAGAATTTACCTACACCAGACTAGCTCTCCAAGAAGTTCTCAAGTGAGCACTATACCAGAAAATTAAGTACAGACACACAGAAATAAGAGTTAAAAAACTAAGAAAATGGGGACCAGCAGTAGCATAATGGCTATGTGGCTGGACTCCCATGCAGTTCGCATCCTGGACCCGGTGGCTTAAAACACCC